TTCAAAGGCGCATTTTTTGGTATAAAAATCATTACGAATGGCCACGGCACGTATCTTTCCCTTGTTAGCCTTAGTCACTTCACTCGTTCACTCATTTGCCTCTTCTATTGTTTATCATTTCTCTTTTAATGAATCTTCCTGTCTTCTCTTGTGCCGCCTAAGCTTGAGGTATGGACACAACACTTAATAACGGTACTCAAAGTCAACAACGGTGGCTTTGGTGCTGTTATTCCAATAATACATTGGAGTGGTAGTACTAGAGGGGTTCAAAGTCTGTTTGAGATTTTTTGTAAGGTAATGATTTCATGTTTTTGTCTTGTCAGTGTCTTCCCTTCTTTGCTGAATTATCACAAGTGCGTATCTGCGATGGGCGCAGTTGCGTGTCATGAAACAATTAAACATATAGATCAATTTATTAGCGTATACACCAGATCTTCGAAAATCCATGCAGTCGATGTCAACATTGAGGAATAACTCTGTAAAACAATTTCATTGATCGGAATCAAAATCAGAGCCCTTTTTACAGATACTTACGCGCATGACAATCCATGGACAAAGTTCGCTCCATTCGTCTTGAGATCGTCTACGTCCTTGGCTTGATACATGCAGTCTTTTGACACAGTAGAGAGCAGCTTTTGCGATGGTGTCTGGACAACAAGCACAATCATACTAAATTCAACAAGGGATGTTTGGTACTCACAAGCCCCAAAGTTACTATTGCTATTTGGTAGGTTCCCTGCCGTCTAATTGCGTAAATCCTGCTTGCCGGGTCATCGTCAGTGGGGCTAGAATGTTCGTTTGAAAAATTATTTCTTGTACCAAGGTGAACGTGACCAACTTTGTGCTAGTGACGTATATAAGTATATGTCTAGCCGATGGACGATAGCCTTGGTTCGGAGTGCTATAGTTCGTTATAGCTAGATCCATAGCGCTAAACACCAAGATTCGATGAGTATCTTGATAATGCTGTTACCGTACCTTGATAAGTTTTGACCTGCCCTGTTTAAGAAGGTCAGGTTGGAGAGTAGCATTTGAACATTATCGAAGCTATGTTCTGGAGCGTTGAAAGAAAATCCGCCTTTGGGTGTGTCCGCCAATGTCATGGCCGCGACCTTAGTAAGGGTACATGACTTTGAAGAGATATGCGGATATAAGGAATGAACTGAGTATACCTGGGCGGTATCGTCTGCGAATCTGTATGGTAGCTGAGAGGAAATGGCAAAATCTCGCAACTGCAAGAGTTATTATAGTCCAAGTATGAAACACCGCTTGTGCTTACACTCTTAAAGTTGTCCTCAGAGTTAGCATTAGATGCATCGATGACGAAAAGTGTGTCTTGCATCACTGCACTCAGATCACATGTTGGTACAGGAGCTTAAAAAA